CATAAAAGAATTAAAGTAAAATCACAAAGTAACAACAACGCAGCGTGGTGGTGATGGAAAAAACTCTCTAACTCAAAGCAGCTGCCAAAGCAGTTATGTGATGCAACTGGAATATTAACTGCACCTGAAAGAGCAGGACAATGACTTACTTTGTGCAGTCTAAATCAATACACAGATTCTATAATTCTGGATGTAATTTATACATATAATAAAAATAATTCTATGGCTTTTTATTTTTTACCACAGCAACTTAGAATGCAACTGGAAAAGCCCTGAGAAAAGGATCATTCCGAGTCTTACACCTCCACTCTACTTCACATGCAGTAAAGTATTTGCCTATAAATCAACACTAATCCCTGTACGAACAGCACATAAAACATCTATGGATCCTGGGATGTGTTATTTGCAACTAAGTGCAAGAGACAAACTGAAAGGGGGTAAGTGATTTGCCAAAGATCATATATATCTGAAACACTGAACCCTAACCTGACTCCCAGTTTTGGTGTCAAACTGCCAGGCTAATCCTTGTTACATTTCCCTCAAAGTAATTAAACCAGCAGAAACCTAGAGATTGTCAAATTGTAGCCTTTGGAGAGAGTTAGTTATGCATTTATCTAGTAACTGCAATTCCTTCCCACCTGCTGTTTCTATAAACAATCATACAGTACTAACCTACTCCACAATTACTATAATTTATTTGCTGAGGTTATTTGCAGACTGAGATATCACTGAAAACAAGGAGAAACAATCTTGCTGTTTTACAAGAGCCTCTAGTGATAGGACAGGAGGTGATGGCTTTAAGCTGACAGGGGAGATTGAGATGAGCTCTTAGGCAGAAGTTCTTCCCTGTGAGGGTGCTGAGGCGCTGGCACAGGGTGCCCAGAGAAGCTGTGGCTGCCCCATCCCTGGCAGTGTTCAAGGCCAGGTTGGACATAAGGGCTTGCAGCAACCTGCTCTAGTGGAAGGTGTCCCTGCCCGTGGCAGGGGGTTGGAGCTGGATGAGCTTTAAGGTCCCTTCAACATAAACCAGTCTGAGATTCCATGATTAATGTAATACAGCAACAGACAACTCAATCAGCTACAGTCGTATAACAAGAACACAGTATTATCATATGTAAACAAATATATTCATATCTAAATATACAGACTTCAATATATAGATATATTAGTAAAAATATTTATAAACATAATCATAGGTAAGTGTATGTATATATATAAACCATGATCTATAAAAAAAGCCTAATTAGAAAGTAGTTTTATTTTTGTATCATAGAATCATAGAACAGCTAGGGTTGGAAAGGACCTTAAGATCATCTAGTTCCAACCCCCCTGCCATGAGCAGGGACACCACACACTAAACTATGTCGCCCAAGGCTCTGTCCAGCCTGGCCTTGAACACCTCCAGGGTTGGAGCATTCACAACTTCCTTGGGCAACCTATTCATACAAAACTACAACGCAAAATTGCACTACAGTAAGAAAAAGGCCTTAAAGCTTTCCAAACTTTCAAAGTATTTTATAGAAGGTAACTAGAAAAAACAAACCTACACTGAATAAAACATAATATTTCATGTATTTGTACATTCATTGAGAAAAAATTTCAGAAGCAGTATTTCACCAACACCCAATTACAAAAGGCATAAAACCTTAGAAAAGACAAACTTCTGATTAAGTGGTTTCTGCTTTTTCCAACCCTTTGTGTTTCCAACTGTGGATTTTTTCTTGCAGAGTATTATGGTCAGTATTCAGTATTTAACTGGTTTGAGATTTATTTTTAAGAGGTGGACCTCAAAAATACGACTGATGTCATCTTCCCTTGTGATTGTCTCCCTGGCTTTTTGTAGCAAGGCATATCCAGTCTTAGGATCTCCAGCATGTGCCTTAGGTTCTCTTAAGTCCCTATATGCTTTCTGGCATTACCATATTACTGACAACCATCCAATTTTGATTTTATTTGTAACAGAGAAGTATAAACCCTTTACAGATTACTACTTACTTTCAGGTTTTGAATCCACTACTGCATGAAGCATTTCTTTCAGCTGGAGCTGTGCTCTTTGCAGTCTCTGCTCTGCATGGAACAACTTTGGAGAGAGAATGGGACACAGATAAGCTCATTCCTTTGAAATGCATATTCAAACACCTAAAACAAAAGAGTATCAAAAAGAATCCCAAATATAAAAAATGGTAGCTATGAGCATCTGCTGACTGTTTCACAAGAGAACGTGCCAAAACAAATTCTCAGCAATTGGCCTTTACTCGATATTCTGTAGTGTTCATTGAGGATTCTTGTTCTCCCAAGTGATTTCTTCTCTATGGCAGAAATTCATTGCAGTTTTCAACCAAAAATACACGTGGCTTGAACATCAGAACAACAACAAAATAAAGACAGCAAGACTCAGGATTGCAGCAGCTAACTATCCTTGTACTGAGGTTCTTGCAGTGCAGCTGAGTTGTCTCAGAGATCCACTGTCCAACCTGAGAGCACACTGGAAAGCTTGTTGCCAGACAACATCCAACTGATGGTCATTTTTGTGATTCGGATGATGTGCACCAAGAACTGCAATCAGCTGGACATCACATTCATTTCCTTGTGATCTCACTCAGGTTCATGCAAAGACTCAGCAGCTCAACAGCCAACTGATTCACATTAATTCCACATCCACACCTAGACTGCAATACTAGAAATCTGGGGGGGGTTCCCCTTTTAATACAGTGTTGAAGTTAATGCTACAGAATTTGGCAAGATGATATATCAATATTGCACTGGATTTTATAAAAGTATCCTGTTTTGACAACGTAGCTCAGGAATTCCAATGTTAACTGCTTCCAGTGCTTCCCAGGACAATCTTTTTGTCAAACTCAGGAACCAAAATCCCAAGGTTGCTCCTGAATCAATATTCCCACCCAGTGAATAGCTGAGGTACTTGCTGTGTTCCTCAGCCCTTGAAATCTTAGTACAGATGAAGAGATAGAAATCTAAGGAAGCATTTGCTCACTCCCACAAATATAATGAATTCTCTTTGGGTGCTACAACAGTAAGTCATGGAACATATCCTGGGACTGCTAAATGATGATGTCAGTGGCAGCTGAGGCAGCCAAGTTCTTTGAATGAGGTCTTCAGATCTTGCAGGGTCAAGCCTCTTCCCTTAAAATGTACTTAAATGTAGATACTTTCAATGGGATTTAATTTTCTAGTGCTGGCAGGAACACTGGACTGTTGTTCCTGATGTACTTTTTTTAATTCATTATTCCCAAACAGATGTCAACAACTATTTATGTTAATAGGTATGCTTTTATGGCAGTACCTGAGTTTTTTGCTCCTGCTTCTGTTGAGCCAAAGATTCTTCTCTCTCTTTTTCTAAGCGAAGCTGTCTTGCTATTTCAAGAATTCGTGGATGATTTTGTACTGTCTCCACCTACAGCAAGTGGATAAATAGTGCATGTTACTGTCAGATAGTTGAGAAATACATTAAAGAGATCATATGTTTCACAAGCTCACTTAGCATTTCCTTTCCATACATGTTACTACTCAGAAATGACAGCAAAGTTCTGGACCCAAGATTCTTAAAAGCTCTGGACTAATGCCTAGGGAGATTCCCTGTGGGTCAATTAGTTACTTGATTCCTTCCTAGACATAGAGTATGTTTATCTTAATCCTTGTTTGCATTCCAAAAATCAGAGTTGCAAGCCAAGGACTATGACACTGAAACGTAATAGTGTTACTTCTCCTATTACCCTCTTCTTAAGACGTTCCACTCTTTTGACGAGTTGATCTTTCTCCTCTTCCATTGCATCAATGTCCTAAAACGCAGGGAAAAAAAAGAAATGTTAATTTATTTACAATATAATATGGATTGGACTAAATTATGTTCAAATTAATATGAAAATCAATCAGAATTCTTCTCTGAATACAATGAAGTGGTTATCATTTTATTGATCTATGATCAGAACATCCGGGATTCCACTCTCTCTTCCCCCACAGTTCCCACTCTCTTTCTGCTGACGTTCCTTCATCTGTGCCTCCCAGTATTAGCGTGAACATTTAAAATAAAAGCAGGTGGATTTCTCAAAAATAAAAGCAAACTAACAGAAACCACCTTGCAAAAATCAGCATCAATTCAACACCTGATGTTGAACATATGTTCTTAATGTTAGAACAATTGGCACACAATTTTGCACAAAGCTGCAGACAAGTGATGTTTGCTGCCACTGTTTGTATTAAAATTGTTTTAGAAGAAACACTTTAAAGTGCTAAAACATGTATTTAATTATTATTCTCCTATTTTACAACATCAGGACTCCACAGATTGATAGCTATGAGAGAAAAGGAAATAAATTCTCCAAATTTAGACCTTGTCTCAACATTTGCTCAACTTGTCTGTATGTCTTACTGAAAAGCTGTACACACACTTCAATACTATGCTGAAACAGGGCAAATATGTTGCTTAACACCTGGGCCACACAGGATCATCATTTTTATTGACTCAAGCTCTTAATTCATTCAACTCCCTCTGAAATTATTACCCTGTATCAGTAAAGCAAAAGGCTTTGTAGCAATTTGCAATCAGAGGAAAAGGAGTTCTAATATTTGAAAATCCTGCGGAACAGAGTTTTGGCAGCCTTAGCTCCCAATCTGCTCCAGAAAGCTCAGCTCTAAGCACGAGTGAGGATTTGCTAAGCTGTTTGCCAACACAGAACAGTTTCAAAAGGCAGCTGCAGTGCCCACCAGCTCTGACCTCTACAACTCACACACTGCAATGACTCCATAAACCCAATAAAAATAGAACTACTGACATTCAAACAAATAACTAACAAAAAAAGTTGTGTGATTTTGTCAGGGTTTTTTTACCCTTCTTATTTCTGCAGTAGATAAACCAGATGTTTTGAGCTGCTCGCACTCCTTATGTAGGTTTTTAAATGCTTCCATCAGTTCTTCATACTATAAAATGAAATAAAAACCATGCAGAATGAGCTCTCTGTCTAAGGATTTTCAGATCAACATGTATTTTACTACAAAGACAGTAAATATTAAAAAAGAAATACAGTGAGAACAAGAATTACAGGTATTCTTTCCATCACAAAACCTTGTCAACTTATAAAGCAAAAATAAAATCACAGTGAATTATCTTCTACTCAAAGGCAAACTCAGAAGTTCTACAGTTTCTTTGGTATTTTCACCTTGTAGTACACAGTGTATTTTCAAAACTGGAAGATGTTATCTGAAAGGGATGATGCTGTACTAACAAATTATTCTCTCTTACTGTGTGTATATCACATCCATAAATTTATCAGCCCAAAAAGGAAGAGTCTGATCTCCCAGTATACTTGATTGAAGCAATGGGGCTTGAATTTATAGAGCAGTGAGCTTCAATCCATCAAAGCAGTCCAAGAGCACACCTGACTTAACACGTGAGAAACAGTTTTGACACATTGCATAATCATGCCCTCAGTATGTTACAGAGATTTATATATGCAGTTCAGTAGTTAGAAAGAAGTAGACAGTGTGCTACTTCCACACCAGTACAGTGCCCACCAGTAATCTTAAACTGAGAGGCAGTGTGAAAGTCTGTGTGGGTAGAGAAATAACAGGGGACAGAAAGAGTTTAGAAATATGGATAGGAAATAAATTTAGATTCAGCTTGGGAGAAATGCAAGCTGAGATACAAGGAAAGATAATCTCCACAGAAACAGCCATTCAATGAGATGGAAAAATCTAAAAAGAGAAGATCAAGTCATTGCTTACTTCCTGGAAAGAGCAATTGATATGAATGTTGAACACAAAATGGCAATGGCAAAGGCCAGTTCAAACAAAGACATCCAAGCCCTGAGCAGTGAAGAAGCAATTCTATTCTATAAAACCCTGGGGAACCAGCATCTAGAAAGCTCTGTTCATTTCTGGTTGTTTTAATATCAACACACTGACAAGCTGGAATGAATTTAAAACAATAGCAATAGAATGGATACTGAGAAGAAGATAAAATAATAGAGCTTGGTTAAATGGCAATGGGCATGCTGGACAATGAAGAATAAGTTACAGAAAAGTAGGGGTAAAAATGCAACTGGCCTGCATGGTATGACTTGGGTGTTACAGAAGTACTTTAACAAATAAGAATAGCAGGTAGTCTCTGAGCAACTGTATTCCTGGTTGCTGATGTCCAACAGCTTCCCTTTGCGTGGATTCTCTACCTCTTGTGAAAGGGGATTTTAGTGAGTCTTTTCCTTATTGGGACACAAAATTTCAAGCAAGATTCAAACAAGGGCAGAGCACACTTTGCCAGAGCATAATGAAGGGCAGATTTCTCACCTTCACCAAATAAAACCTGCAACTACCCCAAGAGCACCTGAAGTGCATCACATAATCAAATGGCCAAAGAACACCCAAGTTCCTATAGTGGAAAGAAAGATTCCTGGCACCTGGGGACAGCTCACTGAAGACTAGATTTATGCCTGAAGGTGCTTACTTTTAAATTAGATACTGCAGCCAATCCAGTGTCTAAATCACAACACAGTTGGGAAGGTGGCAAGTATCACAAGAACCTTGTTTAGATGATCTACAGAAGGATGAACTTTAAGGTCCCTTCCAACTCTAACCATCCTGATTCTATACACCCATAAAACTTGACCATATTCTAAGATTTCCAAGACCTCATATTTGAAATGCTTCTCTTAAGAGGCACTATGGGAAGCCTGTATCTAAATAATTTAGGCTAAATTCTTTAATACAATAATATCTAAATATTTGCATTGTAATATTAAATTTTATCAAGACACTATATTACTCAGCTTTTGTTTTGAATTAATCAGCAGGGCATTAGTTAATAAGATGGTTATATTACTCTAATCCCAAAAACGAACACATCTTAGGTAACGGAAATAATGGAGTTGGATATTTATACATACCAAGACTGTGACATACTGAAAGAGACCCCCATACATCCTGCATTCCTTTCTCTCTTTGCTACTACTGCTTAGTTACTCCAAATTACAAATCCAATATTGTTAGTGGTAACAAAAAAATAAAGGGCTTAGTCAAGCTTTGCTGGTGCATAGTTAACAAATCAAGTTACCTGCTACAAACATTCAAAACCACTGTGATTTTGCACTATACAGAGCAAAAAGCAGAGAAAACTGGATAAAAATTAACTAAATATGTACCTCATAATACAGATCTAAAACTGTAACTTTGGTTCACTTTTAAGCTTTACATTTCAAACCCACCCAGTCTGACTATCTAAAAATCAACATTTAATGCTCACAAAAGAAGTGGGAACATAATGAACAGGAATGTCAAGCCAGGAAGAAGCAATTATTTTACTTATTCACAAAAAATAAAAAAAATAAAAAATAATGGTTGAAGCAGAAGTGGGATAAGGCTAACACAAATATTAAGCACTAAATAAAATTCACAATTAGGAGACATTGGCTTTTGGTCCTAACATTTTCTGCACTAGTTTGAAGTGGTAATTTAGGAAGTTAAAAACATTCATTTCATAGCCCACAGGGAGAAAAAAAAGTCTTTAAAAATTAAGAAATAAAAATCTATCCTGGCCAACATGGCTCTGAACATTATTTAGCATCAAGTACTTAATGGGCTTAAAACCTTTCAATTCAATGCTACCTATTAATATACAATTTCAGGGTTATTGGAAGAAATATGGTCAAGACATATATTTCTCATCACAAATCTTTGCTCATCCTTGATTCCAACATGCTCTTAACATACCTCACTTGAACACATATATCAGCAGTAACTCCTCCTGTTGGCACTTGTATTAAGCAACAGAAACTATTGGCATTCATGAAAAATGGTACCTGTTTGTTGATGTCAGCCACAGTATCATCATGTAGAAACTCTGCTGGCACTTCCAATTTTACTAAGAAACGTGCCAGATAAGCTCTTTTTTTTAGTTCATTGGTCCTCTGAAGAAGCCAGTGTAAGACAGGATGAATTACAGGTTTGCTTCCAGTCACTAACCCTTGGCGAAATGTGCTCCTATAGAAAAACAGCAAACAGAAAATACTTCAAACTAAAGAGCACTGGCTTGGAACAAACAATTTGCAGTATTTTGATGTTCCTCCTCCACTTGCCTAATGATTTTTTTAATGCTGTTAAAAGAGAAAACATTCATGATGCCAATTTGCTATTTATGATCCCAATTCTGCTACCTTGAGACAGATAAAGGCTAAAGCCAGTCACCACGACTCTTCCTTTTCTGCGATATTCTTCAGGAATAAAGGCAATACGAGAAGAGTGTGGGTTTTCTGGGTTAAAACCTGGCGCAGGAGGGTGCAATCCAGCCTCGGGCGGCTGGTCCGAAGGGGATGGATGGGGAAGGGAGTGCCCCTGCCAGTCATGCGGCACCCTCTCCTGGCTGGCTCCGCAATAGCAGCCGCTGCAGCATGGCCCGAGGGGCAGCCCTGGCTGGCATCCCCCATAGCTCACCCTATAGGTACAAGGGACCGGTTGTCCCCAAGGCATTACATGTACCCACCGGGACAGTCGAAGTCAAAAATACACCCAACTATTGAATGGAGGTCCGTATAAACTGTAAAAGATGTTTTACTGTGGTTTGTAGGCAAATAGATACTTACAAGTCCGATACACTTCCTGGAGGTTTGTATTTAAGGATACCAAGAAGACTCAACATCCTTTTAGCTGTTTGTTCTGGCAGCTCCTCTCTAATATCAACAGCATGCTGGGTAGTTAAAAAAGAATATTAATTATCCACCATTTGTACAAGTCATGTTAATTAACTAGCAACACTAAAAGAATTTATCCATTCATCACCTGATATATCAATGAAGTGAGATGCTCCATTACAGAACATCCTTTTTAGCACTGAACTTCAATTCTCTTCTAATGGATTTATTCAGGTGAATTTACTCTAGGAATACATTCTCCCTGCTCACAGGGCCTCATCTATGCAGACAAATCAATTATTCCCACAAAGGAAGCCAGATATCCCAGCACACCAAGGCACATGTATCTGCACTCCAGATGTATGAATGACCCCTTCTAATTTTACATGGCTTTGGTAGCCTCAGAGGAGAGGGATTCAATATCTATTGCAACGTCTAATTGATGGTTCAGTTCTTGGCCAATTGTGCAAGACACAGCCTAACATATGACTTAAGAACACAGTGGTTGGCAGTATGAACCCAGTGAAGAGCTGTATCCCAAGTCCCAAGGAAAAACATACAGTCATCAGTCTCCAGGGGACAGGGATCCCATATCCCTGGCCCAAGAAACATTCGCTGGTTTGCCAAAAACACTTAGATGTATAGACAGGAAGGATTCTTGCCAGGCACGTTTATTTCCAGGAAGCTCCATACAAGCTACTTTGGTAAATCAAACAAGCC